GAGGAGGGAGAAGGAAGAAAGGAAGGAAGGAAGGAAGGAGACGCGGGGCGCTGTTTCTTCAAAGCGAGGACCCAACACCACAGGATGGTTGGGGAAAAAGTAGTCTGGGGACGATTTTTCCGCTGTTTGACATATGTTTGATTTTTTGGATATTGTTTTTAAAAAGTCATCCCAATTCCGCCTGCAGGGGGACACGCTGGACCTAAGAGTAGGACAGAGGGCCCTCCCGAGGAGGCGGGGGGAGAGTGGTGAGCACTGGGGCTCGATGGACCCCCCCCAAGGAGACGGAGGCGACAGGGGACGGACGGGTGTTTCGCGAGGTGCAGCCATCCAGTTCCACCAGCCGCTGCTGCACCTCAGCCGCCGCTTCTGAGTGCTGGCCCGGCCGGCTTGCGTGTCGCTTAGTAGCTAATTAGGCTGGCCCGTGCTCGGACCCCCTCTCGCCGCCTGCCCTCTGCTGCGCGGCCGCGACCAAAAAAGTATTCCCACTAGCTTGGCCCGGCCGTCTCGCGCGTCGCTTAGTAGCTAATTCGGCTGGCCCGTGCCCCGGACCCCCCTCTCGGCGACAGCTTTACGCGTCTGCCGGCGACCAAAAAAGTATCCCCACTAGCCCCCTGGCGGTCTGCTTCTCGTGCCTCTGGCGCCCGGTGGCGACAAGGTTTAATTCCCGTGCCTGGTGATATCGCTCCCATGGTACTCGCACGTTGCCTATTCCAGCCGCCTCCGCAGCTGGCAGCTTCCACCCCTCGGCGCAGCTCTGCCTCGGCGCAGCTCCCCCCGGCGGTAGGTTAGCTCGCTTGCTCGGCGCGCGCGCCGGCAATTAGGGCGTTCGCGGCCCGTGCGACTTTACCGACTCTGCTGGCACGCTCGCCTGCAGCTGCGACAAGAAAATACCCCCACCAGCTCATCCAGAAACAGATCGCCAGGCGAGTTGCCTTGATCAGGGAAGTGCAGAAGCATGAAGTGTAACAGCCGCCTTGGGAGTGCTTTCTCGGAGGTCGCTCGGAGCCGTCCTGGGTCTTTCGGGGCTCTTTGGGGGGGGGGTCTGGGGGACCTCTCGGGACCGTCTTGGGTCCTCCTTCGGGCTCTCTTGGGGCCATTTTGGGGGAGATCGATCAAAGAAGGGGGGAGTCAATTTATGCCCCTCCTCGGACGCTTCAAGATGGCCTCTTGGGCGCCTCTTGGGCTTTCTTGGGGCCGTCTCGTGTCCGTCTTGGGCACCTTCTAGGGCCTCTTTATGGTTATCTAGGAGCCATCATGAGGCCCAAACAGCTAGCTCATCGGAAGCGATACAGCGAAACGCCCAAACACCTTGATTTTGTAGGTGTTTGGAAGATTTTGGCCTCTTGGGAGGTGTCTTGGGAGGCGGGAGTGGCACATGAAACCCTCTTGGGGCTGTCTTGGGGCGTCTTGGAGCTCTGTCGGAGGCTATATTGAGCGATTTTGGTGTATCTTGGGCCATCTTGGAGGCCCTCGTGTGCTGTTTTGGGCCCACTTGGAGCCATCTTGGGCCATCCTGGGCGCTCTGACGGCTCCGTCCCCCCTCCTCCCAGGCCCAGGGGAGGGGGTTAGGGGGAGGGGTCAAACTACCCACCCGCCTGCAAACCGCCTAGCTCACTCCCACCCGCCCTCCCTACACATATATAAATAGCACCCGAGCCTGAGCAAGTTCAGAGGTCGTCTTTAGATGGGCAGCTACTGGAAACCCAAGCCGACCCCAGGTGTGCGACGTTTGGGCGAGGCGCGCCACGCGTGCCAGGGGCGCCACGCGCGCCAGGCACCCCTGGGGCCCGAGCGTGCCAGGCACGCCTAGTGCGTCAGATGCGCCACGTGCTCCGAGTGCGCCAGGTGTGCCGCATACTCCAGCCGTGCCAGGTGCGCCACGTTCGGGGCACGTGCAGAGTGTGTCAGGTGCTCTTGAGCACGTGACAGCACACGTCGGGAAGCATGTCGGCCCCCACCATCCTTGTCGACAACCAATGCCCATCATTGTGTCTGGTGGGCCTGCGCACAGCAGGCCATACGCTGCCACCGCCGCCGTCCTGTCAAAAACCGCTTGCAGTGATCGCGGGGTGGCCGCGCACGATCCAGACTTAGCCGAGAGGTGCATTTTGTATTGCTTTCTGACGGGGATGGTGGCTCTGCGCGCTGCAGGCAGTATGCTGACACCCCCGCCGTCACGGTCAAAAAACGATACAACATGCTCGCGGGCCTCGCGAACATGATGCAAGACTTTGCTCCGACGTGTACTTTGTATGGTTTTTTGACAAGGATGGTGGGGGGGGGGGGCGCATCGGGTTGGTTGCGCATGCTCCGAATTTGGAGGCATAGTGTGTGTTTGTGGTGTTTTTCGACAAGGATGGTGGGGGGTGATCAAATGGGGGGGGGTGATTCAAGGATCGGCATTGTCGCCTGGAGGAGGGAGTGTATATCAACAGGGAAAAGTAATCAACCCTTCCCCCGAGAAGGGGAAAGGAGGGGTTGTGGCAGGGAGCACCGTTAGACCACTCAGCCCAGAGGGTTGGCGGGACTACACCAGGTATGGACCTACTGGGGTGCTGCCTTTCCCGTCTTGTGAGGCGGCAGTTTCTCTCGTGCGGGGTTCAGGCCCGACCCCAACTCCTGGTGTGCGGTTCGAGGGCCGCTGCCAGTTCCCGTGAAGGACGGTGGGAACACGCCGAAGACACCTCGTCCCGCTGACTCGGGCATCTGGCGAGCAGGAGCGGTGAAGGAGGTGGTCACGTGGAAGGCTGTAAACCTGCCCCTCCTGGAGCACGCTCCAGGGGTGGCGGGTGCGCAACATGGACCACCCCCGAAGCGCGGGAGGGCGAGAGCCGAAGCCCCCGCCATTCCGCCCTTCGAGGCGTCGCTCAACCAGCTCCCCCAGACCCTCCCGCGGGAGGACAACGGGGAGAATGGGGAGGATGAGGGTAAGGCTGATGATGCTGCTGCTGATGATGATGATGATGACGATGCTGCTGCTGCTGATGGTGATGCTGCTGATGAAGCTGATGGTGGTGATGTTGTTGTTGTGGTTGTTGTTGTTGTGGTGGTTGTGATTGTGGTTGCGGTTTTGGTTGTTGTTGTTGCTGTGGGTGTTGTTGCTGGTGTTGTCATTGTTGTTAATGTTGATGATGTTCATGTCGCCGTCGTTGTTGTTGTGGTTGTCGTCCTTGTCGTTGTCGTTGTTGTTGGTGGTTGTGTTGTGCTTTCTTGTTGTTGCTGTTGCTGCTGTGGTTGTTATTGCTGCTGTTGCTGCTGTTGTTGTTGCTGCTGCTGTGGTTGTTGTTGTGGTTGTTGTTGCTGCTGCTGCGGCTGTTGTTGTAGTTGGTGGTGGTGTTGTCGTTGTTGTTGCTGCTGCTCGTGTTGTTGCTGTTGTTGTTGGTGTTGTTGATGACGATGCTGATGATGCTGCTGATGATTCTGATGATGCTGATGCTGATGATGCTGCGGCTGACGATGATGCTGATGGCGATGACGATAAAGTTGGTGAAGATGATGACGACGATGATGACGATGATGATGACGATGATGATGATGCTGATGACGACGATGATGATGCTGCTGATGATGATGCTGATGCTGATGACGATGCTTATGATGCTGATGATGATAAATATGATGATGCTGCTGCTGATGATGCTGATGATGATGCTGATGTTGCTGCTGATGATGATGCAGATGATGACGATGATAATGATGATGATGATGATGATGATGATGATGATGATGATGATGATGATGATGATGATGATGATGATGATGATGATGATGATGCTTCCGCCCTACCTTTTCTGTTGCTGTTTCCGCCCTACTTCTGTGGATTTCCGCCCATGATGATGATGTTTATGATGATTCTGATGAGGATGCGAATTTGCCTCCTGGGCTGCGGGGGCCTTTTTTGGCATCCAGGGGCCCGTTTTCGGAGTCCCAGAACTTTTTCCGCTTCCCCGAGGCGTCCACCTAGGCTTCTGGAGACGGCAAGAAGCCGCCAAGACGGCCCAAGAGCGCTCCAAGCCGCCCAAGATGACCCATGATCAGCCCAAGAGGCCCCCAAGATGCCCCAAGGTCCCTCCGCGAGGACCTCCAAGAGAACCCCAAGACGCCAAAATCATTGATTTTCATGGTGTGTGTTCCAATATTTGTTGCTTCTCACGTTTTCGTGCGGCCGACACTCCAAGACTGCCCAAGTAGCCTCCAACGTCGCCCCAAGAGGCCCCCGAGAGGCCCCCAAGACAGCCCAAGAGGGCCGCATGATCGGCCCAAGATGCCCCCAAGACGGCCCAAGAGGGCCTGAAGAGGGCCTGAAGACGGCTCCAAGATGGGCCCAAGAGAGGGAACGCGAACCGACCTTGCGAGTTTCCCGCCCCCAGAGACCCCCAGGAGGCCCCAAGAGGCCCCCAAGTGGCTCCAAGAGGCTCCAAAGAGGCCCCAAAGATGCTTAAGAGAGGTCCGACAAGCTCCACAACGCCCCCGTGGAGGCTTCAAACCTGCTTCCAAAAGGCCCCCCGAGAGGCATTCCACGATATCATCCCAGCGAACATCCGAGAAGCCGGACACGATTGCGGGATGGGCCCAGAATTGCGACCTCTGGTTCGCATGGGGGGCTGGGGGGGCCTTGAAGGCTCCAAGAGGGTTCAGAAGGGGCCCCGGACCCTTCCAGAGGCTCCCGAGCTGGCCCACGATATTCCCGGGAGGCTCCAGAGAGCCCCCCAAATGCCCGAACAGAGGCGCCCTCTGCCCCAAGAGGCCCCCAGGAGGCCCCAAGAGACTCCCAGAAGGCCTCCACGACGCCCCAAAAAGCCACCAAAAAGGTTCCAGAAAGACCCGAGAAGCTCCCAGGAAACCCCCACCGAGCTCGCAGGAGGCCTCTACACAGACCCTCAGAAGCCCGCCAGAAGCCTTTCGTCCTCCATGCTCCGGAGCAGCCCTTCAGAACACGTGGCCCTGGCTGCGCCCCCTGCGCCCACCCACCAATGTCGAGGCCCGAGGACGCCCCCATGACGCCCGCAAGACGCTCCGGAAACGCCTCTCCCGCATACGTGGATCAGGTGACAATGATGCTGATCGTCGGTGGTCCGTCGTCGTCGTCGTCGTCGGTCGTCGCTGGTACGCTACAGGCCAAACCCTTCCTTGAACTTCGCAGTATCCGCCCGAAAATCACGCATGGGTGAAAGGGAGGAACCCAGAAGACCACATGGAAAAGGTCCCATGGAAATTGACACCGTCTTCGGAGCCGACTAGAACCTAAGCGCGCGCGAAGCGCGCGCGTGGTTCTAGTTGTTATTGGTGTTATTGCTATTATTCGTAGTAGTCGTATTCGTAGTATTACTGTTATTGTTAAGTCATCATTGCTATTCTTATCCTCATTGTTATCATCATTATAATTATCACCATCATCATCACCATCATCATCAGCATTACCATGATTGTGGTGGTGGTGATGATGGTAATGAGAGGAGGAGGAGGGGAGGGGCGAGGAGGAAGTGGAGGAGGAGGAGGAGGAGGAGTGATGATGATGCTGCTGATGATGATGCTGATGATGCTGATGCTGTTGCTGCTGCTGCTGCTGATGATGATTCTGATGCTGATGATGATGCTGCTGCTCATGATGATGATGATGATGATGATGATGATGATGATGATGATGATGATGATGCTGATGCTGATGCTGATGCTGCTGCTGCTGCTGATTATGATGATGATGACGATGATGATGATGATGATGATGATGATGATGATGATGATGATGATGATGATGATGATGATGATGCTGATGATGATGATGATGATGATGATGATGATGCTGATGATGATGATGATGATGCTGCTGCTGATGCTGCTGATGATGATGATGATGATGATGATGATGATGATGATGATGATGATGATGATGATGATGATGATGATGATGATGATGATGATGATGATGATGATGATGATGATGATGATGCTGATGATGATGATGATGATGATGATGATGATGATGATGATGATGATGATGATGATGATGATGATGATGATGATGATGATGATGATGATGATGATGATGATGATGAGGAGGAGGAGGAGGAGGAGGAGGAGGAGGAGGAGGAGGAGGAGGATCGGGCTATCATGGGGGAAGGATTGGAGCTGGGGTGGCCTAGGTCCAGCGGCCGCGATGGCCGACCTGAGTTCCATTGGCAGGGACCTCTCCTCCCCTCCTCCCCCTCCCCTCCGCTGCTCTCCGCCCCCCTCCCCATCGCCAGACTCCCTTCCGCCCTCCCCTCCCACATCCCCCTCTCATCCGCTCTCCTCCGCCTCCTCCCTTCCCCCCCGCCCCCTCTCATCTCTCGCCCCTCTCCCTTCCTCTGCCCCCCCTGCCCCCTCTGCCCCCGAGCCCTCCCCCCTGCTGGACTCGTAACGGGCTCCCGAGTTGACGGCCATGACGTTTGTGAGACGATCCAACTGAGCTCACAGCATGACGAGTCAAATCATTCAGTCAGAGCGTAAGCCAGGCACCGAGCTTGAGCTGCGCTGGTGCAGTGGCAGGTCCTTGTTGTCGCGTCGCCCTCGCACCCTCGGCATGTCGTCTGCTTCGGGAGCGGCGTGGATAGCACTCTTTGTGTGGACGTGGAGCGGCGGCAGGCATACATGCGCGCTGCTCGAGTCGCGCATGCCATGGAATCTGCAGCTGTCTCAGTAGTGGCCTTCGGCCCGTCCCGCCACCGTGCCCTGGGTCATGGGCAAGAAGCCTCTTATATACATTCTCTTTGGGGGCTCTTGGGGGTCTCTCGGGAGCCTCACGGGGCCCCTGAGGGTCTCTGGGCCGCCTCCTGGGGGCCTGCTGAGGGTCTCGGGGGCTCCAGCTGTGAATTCTAGATTTCCTTTTGGGCCTCTCTTTGAGCCGTCTTCGGCTGCACTCTTCGACCCGTCGAAGGCGATTCAGACATGTTGGCGGCATGTTGGCGGAATGGCTTCTCAGAGTATGCACCGCGCCACCTTGAGAGCCAGGCTTGCAGGGTGCCAACGGGGCAATTAGTCGCGGCCAGGTGCACTGAACTTTCGGCTACATGCGCATGCCAGGTCGCAGTACGTTTTGTGTTCAAGGCATGCTGCATCCATTGATACCCAGAGGCCGTGGCACACCTTGAGACAGATCCCAACCAGCCAACGCGTGACCAGCATGACCCTGCGCGAGGATGAAATTCGGTACAGGACAGGGCCTTTGCTTCATAGGCATGCGCGATTGGTGTTGGCTGATGGTTTGACCACGGAGGAGGGCAGGCCTCCGCCTGGTCATTCGTGCTGCCGTGATATACTGAGCCGACGCTGCTTGTATGACAGGCCGCGCGGCACACGCACTGCCCGCGCCACGGGGGCACATTACGAAGACGCATATCGATCAGTTACAGATCTGGCCAGAAAGTCAATACGCGCCGCATCCCTGCAACGGCGAGAGGGGGTCTGACCTGCCAGATGGTGCTATCCGCATCCCTGTGCCAGAGAACAGCCTCACCCCCAGAACATGAGGCCGTCCTGGTTTTAATTGGAAGGCGTGCATGCAACAGCGGGTGATTTAACATAGGTGTACGTCGCATAGCCACATGCATGCGCAAGCCGGCGTAAAGCAGAGTTTATATTAGGTCGCGAATCGATCCACGTTTCGTTTTGCCAGCTTGCACGGTCCTACGAATCGGAGTTCGTCCCAGAATGAGCTCGACAGCTGGCAGACTGTGGCATTTGCTGGACAGTCGTGCCTGGCACGCAGGGGCCTCTCACCGTCATGGCTCAATCCGTTCGGTCACTTTCTTCGGGAGTAAAGCTGGACAGCTGACAGTAGAGGAGGAGGAGGAGGAGGAGGAGGAGGAGGAGGAGAGGAGGAGGAGGAGGGGAGGAGGAGGAGGAGGAGGAGGAGGAGGAGGAGGAGGAGGAGGAGGAGGAGGAGGAGGAGGAGGAGGGGTCCCATGTCTTCTCCTCTCCCTCCCCTCGCTCCCGAGACCGTTTAGGTCTTGAGCCTCTGCTGCCCCACCTTTTGGGGCAGTGGGCCTAGGCCACTGACGCTTCGCTCCTTCCGTCCTCCTCCTCTCCTCCTCTTCCTCCTCCTCCTCCTCCTCCTCCTCCTCCTCCTCCTCCTCCTCCTCCTCCTCCCCTGCTTACCGCCCTCCCTCCGCGTTCGAGGCACCGACGACGTGGGACTGCTGGACCTAGACGCGCTGCCGGACCTGCCGAATTTCGAGGATAGCGGCGACCGTGTGAGGAGAAGGGAGCAAAGCGACCTAGCAACAGGGTCGGGGCGGCGTGTTGACCGTTTTTCGCTTCTGAGGCGAGGAGCATACAGCAAGACCACCCCGTAAGAACTCGGACCGTGGTTATGTACGTTTTACGGGTTACGCCGCTGACGTACTCGTGGTGATGACATGTGACTGGGATCATGGATCATCGAGGGTTGCTGCGGTTCGGTCGGTTCGCCTGCGTCGCAGTCGTTCGCATTCGCATTCGGTTCGGGTGGGTCGATCCCTGTTTCGTAGGCTGCTTCTGGCCTGTCGGTTTCGGTCTCGCTGTCGGTTCGCCTGGTTTTCGGTGGCGCCGTCGCCGTGGCCGGCCTTGGATCAGGATGGGCATGGGGCCTGGCTGGGCTTGCCTGGCTGGCCGCGCAGGTCGAGCTGGCCAGGCTGGCCCCTGCGAGGCCACGGGCTGGCTGGGCCGGCTGGCCGGGCGGGGCGTGCTGGAAACACGAAGGCCGTCGAGAGTAGGAGGGCCCCGTCCAGCGGCTCGGAATCGTGCCCGTGAGTGGGGTTCTGGCGGCGGGAGGGGCAGTGGGAGCGAGAGTGCTGCATCCTGTTGTTCAAAGTGGTGATTCTGGGGCTCTGCCCTCTCCTGGCCTTGACGTGAGGCCCCTCCTTCTGCCTTCCCCCCTCTGTCAATTAAAGCTGTGCGCGGCCCGCTTAGCTTCGACCGGAAGAGGCTCGCTCTCGACCCGCGGATCAAAAATGTTGTTCAGAGTGGTGCTCAGTAGCTGGCCTCTGGGCACGCAGAACACGGCCACTGGTGGAGGGGACGGGAACCAGGACAACGGAAGAACTGAAAGCAGAAACGTCGGTGTCGTTCTTGGTCATCGTCCGTCTTGGTCACCGTCAATTCGTGGATCATCCTCGCGAATCGGCGACGACCGGCATGGGCCACGACCAAGATCGTCGTCGACAGAATCCCGCGGTATCTTGGCCAGGGTCGTCGTGCTTTGGTCCTCCAGCCAGGGGCGAGAGGGCGGCATCCTGCGATGTGGAGCCGTATCCGGGAGCGGACGGGCAGAGAAGCAGCCAGGAGCGGAGGGGTTGCACCCGGTGGCTCGGAGTCCGCACATTGGAAGGGACTTCTCAAGCTTTCGTCAGGCCTGCGCAGTTTCCATGAGAGCAATCATGCAGCTGAGCACAGGAGGGCGTGCAGGCAGCTACGGAGCTCGGACATGCAGAAGCAAGGTGCGGACGACCCTGGGGAGTGGATCTTGGGCGGCACAGAGGCTGGCTGGAGCGAGAGGGTTGCATCCTGTGGCTCTGCGTCGTGCTCGGGAGTAGAGTTCTGGCCACGTCAGGGAGGTTTCTGAGTAAGTGGGTCATTGATCACACATTTCGGGACCTCCAGGTAAGCCTGATGCAGGGGAAGACCAGCGCGCGCGAGAGAGAGAGAGAGATAGAGAACAAGAGAGAGAGAGATAGAGAACAAAAAGAGACAGAGGGGGGGAGAGAGCGATGGTGTCGAACACTTAGTCCGCGGAGTCTCTCCATCCCACGCGGCCCCAATCCATGCTTGCAGCGAGACGGGTCCGCTATCCCAGCGCAGCCAAAGGGTATGCCACGATGCACCTTCATGTCTGCTGGGTCATCATTATCATCCATGTTTGGTTCTGTTGGTTTCTGTTCCCTCCCCATCCTGCTACCGATCTATCCACCTGGCGAGTTCCAGTTGCGTCCAGTTTCACATTGATCTTTTGTTGGGCTGTACAGCAGGCAGGCGCCACGGCGCCAACTTGCCGTTCCCCCGCCGGCCCGTCCCTTGCATATTCGATACGGAGTCCGAGTCGGGTTACCATGCACATGTTCCTACTGCCACCGTGTAGCTGCCATTCGTTCTGTCTCCCCCCTGGAAGCTCTGCGGGGCCCGTCCCAAGAGCTTGGCAAAGCGGTACCCGCTCTCAGCGACCGTCGCCGCCCGATCCACATCGTTCTTTTGCTCACGCTTGATCGGTAAGGGCCTACCACGCCACAAGGGCTGGATTACTCGCCTGGAGGCGCCAGCCAGGATGGAATAGAGCCGTCCAGACCGAGCGAGTTATGAGAGCCCACTGGTTGCGAGATTTTGGGCGAGGTCACTTCCCGACCAGCTGCAGCCCCCTTGGGCACGGGGCTATCTTTTTGTCTTTGGCGTGAAACGGGTGTAGAACAGCCAGCAGCTCCAAGCGAGCACACACGGGCGCTGGTAGGAGCCGTAGAAACGCTAATGGCGATGCAGGCAACGGCGATGTAGGCTTCGTCATTGTAGATGGGGGTGGTTCGTGGCCGACCCGATTGTAGGAAAGCGCGGTTCGTGGTTTCCCACAAGTATCCGTGTCGTTTTTCCTCGATGCATTCGCGTGCTTGATGTGTAGGAACGCGTGGTTCGTGATCTCCTGCGATTCGTTCTGCGCGAGTTCGGCGCCGCAGAAACCATATTCCCAACACCACCGTTCACCAAAATCGCTGTCAGTGTGACCCTGGGCTCCCCACCATACCCATCGGTCGTTGAAAATGGAGATTATTGGATTCCAAAATCCCCATCTACCTTAGGCGCCTTCCTACTTCAATTAACGATCGTTTTTCCCTTTTCCTTCACCTTCACGGGGCGGGCGGGAGTCCAATCTACTTCAACGCTTTCCTACTTCCTCTTTCTACCCACTTCTTTCGACCGATGGGTACTCAGCGTTGCCGTGGTCGGCGTTCGAGGATGGGAGCGCGCCCGCGCGTCGGCGAAGGCCTGGGGGCCCCCAGAGGGGGCGCCCTCCTCCTCCTCCTCCTCCTCCTCCTCTTCCTCCTCCTCCTCCTCCGCCTCCGCCTCCGCCTCCGCCTCCGCCTCCTCCTCCTCCGCCTCCTCCTCCGAGCCCGCCTCCGCCTTCTCCTCCTCCTCCTCCTCCTCCTCCTTCTCCTCCTCCTCCTCCTCCTCCTCCTCCTCCTCCTCCTCCTCCCCGTCCCACCCTCCGCGGCAGCCCCGCCCCTCCCCCGCCTTCTCCTGCGCAGGTGTGCGCCTTGCGGCCGCCCCGCGCAGGCTCCAGCCGCGCTGCGCGATCGCCGGCGCCCGCGACCGAAAGAACAAAAGCGCCGCGATCACCACCGCAAGCGTGACGAGGAGGGGCCAGCGGTCCCGAGGAGGAGGCGGCCCCGGTGGGCGGGACGCAGACCGACTCGCTCGGCGCCAGCGTCAAGGTGCGGGAGGCCCGCGGCGGGAGCGAGGGGCGCCTCCGCGCCGAGTCGTCGGCCCCGGGCCGCCCCCCCCTGGGCGGGAGCAGAAGGACGTGCCGGTGCCGCTGCCGATGCCCCCTCCCTTCGCCTCCGCCCCTCTGACCCTCCCAATGGAGGGCCTTCGCCCCACGCCGCGCCCCTGCGCGCAGCTCGCGTGGGGGGGGGTCTCTGGGCGCGCAGCCCGAGGAGCCGTGTTTTTCCTGACCGTGCGCCGCTTGGGCGCCGGGCCACTCTGCCTGCCTGCCAGGGGGGTCCTCGCCGCCGCGGCCGGCTTCGCCTCGGGATCCTGGTGGAACCGCAGTGCGGGAGAGGCGCAGGGAGCATCGGCCTCGGTATCTTTCTGTTCCCTGCTGCTCCTCTTCTTCCTCCCCCTCCTCCTCCCCCTCCTCCTCCTCCTCCTCCTCCTCCTCCTCCTCTCCCTGTCCCCTCTCCTCCTTCCGCCTCTCCTCCGCCGCCTCCCCCGTCTCTCGGGCGCACGCGGACATGGATTACGGATCCGCGGATCTGGCGCGCGGGTTCCAGATTCACGGATCGGGGAAAGTGCTCGCCACACGAGGGCGTGGATCCAGATCGGATCCCGGATCGGATCCACGAGGGGGCGCAAACAGCTAGTTTTCAGCCCTGCCCGTCGCATGGCACTGCTTGGGGGGCGAGCAACATACGAGCAACAGATCATTCAACTCTACTCGCCGCGTGGCAACGCAGAGGGCGGAAATAGGAGGAGGAGGGGGAGGAGGAGGAGGAGGCGGAGGAGGAGGAAATGGAGGAGGAGGAGGAAAAGGAGGAGGAAAAGGAGGAGGAGGAGGAGGAGGAGGAGGAGGAGGAGGAGGAGGACGGCGACGAAGAGGACGGAGGCGGCAACGATGACGATGGCGACGGCGATAATGTCGACGAAGACAAAGACGACAATGACGACGGCGACGATGACGACGACGACGACGACGACGACGACGACGACGACGACGACGACGGTGGCGGCGGCGGCGCCGACGGCGACGACGACGACTACGACCATGACGAGCACAAACACGACAACAATGACGACAACGACAATGACGATGACGAGGGAGACGAATACGACGCCGAAATGCAAGCCGACGACGACTACGAGGAAGAGGAGCACTGCGGCGACATCTATAACGGCGACGGGAATGACGACGACGACGACAAGGACAAGGACATCCCCTGAAGATCTTTGTAGTGTGTCCCAAGTGTTCTAGATATTTCCTCAATATTCCCACTTGTTCCCTGTTTGGATTTCCTAACGGATTTACCAAGAACGCCAAGGCACGTTCTAGGACTTCCTGTGTGCTCCTGACACAACCCTACGGAATGCCATGTCTTCTGTGGAGACTGAGATGATTTCTTCAGGATGGCTTGAGGGTCTTATGAATTCATCAGTATTTCATGCGCGATTCCCTCCAATTGTCTCTCAAGGTCCCGCGTAGATTCAGTCATATTTCCCCGGGAGGCCGAACGCTTTCCTTAGGACTTGTATGGATGCCTCAGTATCTAATGGCCTTCGGCCCATCCCGCCACACCGTTCTTGGGTTGTGGGTATGAAGCCTATTGGATGTTCGTTGGGATCTCGTGGGGGAGCTTTTCGGGGCCTCTTGAAGGCGGCAGTTTTGAGGCCTCTTGGGAGCCGTTTTGGGGCCTCTTTCGAGGGTCTTGGGGACCTCTGGGGGCCTCTTGGGGGTCTCTTGGGAAGGCTCTTGGGTTTCTCTTGGGGTATGTCGAAGGGTTTTTTTTGGCCGTCTTTGGCCTATCGTGGTGCCTTGGTCCGATCCTTCGGCGAGTCGAGGCCCTTCTGGGCTGTCCCCAGGGGCTCTCGGGGCCCTCTTAGCCCGTCTAGGGGGCCTTCCTCGGGCCCGAAAGAGTCGCGCGGGGAGATGCCGCGGGCCCCGGTGGGCGCGCGACAAGCCTGGGAGGATTTGGCAATCTGGGGTCCAGGCCCTGTGGGGGCTCGCCAGGATTGAGGACTGAGGCTTGCGGCATTGTGCGAAGGACCTGAGGGCATGCCCAGGGCTTGGCCTAAACGCTGTTCTGGTGGACTTCGGCCGCGTTTTGCTTTTCGTTCTGGCAGGGGGGCGCAGGAACGCGGGTGGAGCAGAAAGCAACGAACGCAACGAAACGAAAACGATGCGAAAAACTGCGCTCAGGTCCAGCCCTGGACATGCCTAGGGGAGCACATGCGAACCCTACACCTACCCCCCACGATTTTTGAGGGGGGGGTGGTTCACTTCGCTCGAGACCTCCCGAACGAAGTGAACCCCACCCTCCCCCTCAGAAATCGTAGGTGGTAGGGGTAGGGTTCGCATGTGGCCCCCTGCCCACTCCGTGCCCAGCGGCGCGGTGGCGAGTTTCTGAGTGGCCCGTGCCCCCCCGCCTCCGCCTTGCCCGTCGCGTCGGGCGTTGGGCCGCGCCCGCTCCGCGAGCCCCGCCGCCGCGGCCCGGCTCTCCCGGGGGGCCCCGCCGGGCCGCGGCCATCTCCGTCCGCCGGGCGGCGGGGGGGCGGGGCCCGTCGGGGAGAGGCCGGGGAACCGAGGCGGGGGCGCGGGCGAGTGGGCCGGGCGGGCCCGCGCGGCAAAAGCGCGCGCCGTGGCCGCGGCGCGCGCGCGGCGAGCGCGTCGCGCAGCCGCGCGGCAACCGACGGCGGGGCCCGCGCCGCCCCCGCGCCAGATTTTGCGTCGGCGGGGAAGGGGCCGCTCGGATGGATCGGCTCGTCGCGGCCGTGGCGCCCGACTGGAAGCCCGCGGCCCGGTCCCGCGAGCTGACCCAGACGCTCCCCTACGAGGTCGCGGCGCCTTGCTCTGCCGCCCCCCGCCCGCGCTTGCGCTCGCCTGCGCGCCCGTCCGCGGTTGCGGAGGCGAAGGGCGAGGCCGCGGCGCGCAGGCTCACCCTGGCGGGTCTGGGGCTGATCGGGCGGGATGACATCGCCCCGCCCGCCGCGGAGCGCCAGCGGCTGGGGGCGGCGATGGGCGCCCGGCGGGCAGCGGAGGCCCAGTGCGCGGCCGATGCCAAGGCGAAGGCCGAGGCCGAGGCCTGGGCGGAGAAGGGGCGCGCGGCCAAGAGGTCTGCGCCAGCGCGACGTCGAGCTGGGCGAGCTCGAGTTGCTGGAGGAGCTCAAGCACGAGCTCGCGGGGCTGTGGGCGGTGATTTTGTTTTTCGCGCAGCTTGGGGTGTCGTCGAACCCTCGGCAAAAAACAGTGGGCGACTCGGGGGGCGTCTGGGTTGCTCTGGGGAAGAGGGTGCAACCTCGGGCCGCCCTCCCGTCGCCCCGCGCAGGTGCCCCCTCCGTTCGCGATCGCGCCCCCTTCGCTGTCCAACAAGAATGGGTGACGTAATTATTCTGGGTTGGGCGCAAGTGGGTGAATGCCGCGCGCATCTGGCTGGACTTCAGCGCTGCGGGTTGGTCGGCGCGCGCGCCGTGGACAGGGGCCCGTGGCCTGACGTGAAAGACATTCCAAGTGGCAGGGCGACGACTCCCCCGCGCCCTTCGCCCGATTGATAACTTGGAGCCCGAGCTGGGGGCGTCGTCGTCTTCGTGGTCTTCGTCGTCGTCCTCGTCGTCCTCGTCGTCCTCGTCCTCGTCCTCGTCCTCGTCGTCGTCCTCGTCCTCGTCCTCGTCCTCGTCCTCGTCCTCCTCCTCCTCCTCCTCCTCCTCCTCCTCGCCCCAGCGCGCGAGGCCGCGCCGGCTGGGGGCGCGGGGCAGACGCGGCCCCTTCCGAGGGCGACTTTTCCCCTGAAAACCGCCCGGCGCATTCTTGCAAAGACGGCCCCGGCCGCGGGCGAACGGCGCGACTCCGCCGCGGCGTCTGGCAGTGAATATCGCATGGCCCTGCTGGAACTTCCTGGCCAGTGTCGCCGAAATCTGCCCGCGTCGACCGAGATCGCGGGCGGTGCCGTCCAGGTGCAGGGCGACGCGAGCCGCGTCGTCCCCTGGGAGAGGCGCGCCTGCCCGCTCAGGGGCCAGTTCGGTTTGAAAGGGGCCCCCCAGGCGGAGGCCGCGCCGCCCGTTGAAGCTCGCGCGCGCCCGCCCGACCCCCGCTCCGCCGGGCGAAGGCGGGCGTCGCCGAAGGAGGACTTTTGCACTGCGTTGCCGCGCCCCCCCCGTGGCCCGCGTCGTGTTTTTAAGTGTTGTTCTCTTGTCCTGCCAGAGAATCGCTGGCGAGTGGCTGGCGACTCCAGCGCGGCGCGCGTCAAGTCCACTTTCGGAAGCGGCGCGTTCGGAAGTGCCTCGGCGAGCGTGGGCCTCCATTTCCGAGGCGGGCGCCATGGGGGCCCGCGACGGAGCTGCAGTCTTGCCCGCGAGCCAGTTATGAGATGCCTGGCCGTCATTTAGGCGCAGACGGAGGAGGATGAGCAGGAAGAGGGGGGGAGCGGAAGGAGGAGGGGGAGGAGGACGAGGCGGACGGAGGATGGAGGAGGAGGAGGGAGGAGGAGGAGGGAGGAGGAGGAGGAGGAGGAGGAGGGGGAGGAGGAAAAGATGAAGTGGTGGAGGAGGGGGAGGAGGAGGAGGAGGAGGAGGGGGAGGAGGAGGATGAGGAGGAGGAGGAGGAGGAGGAGGAGGAGGAGGAGGAAGAGGAGGAGGTGGGCGGCGACGAAGACGACGGGGGCGGCCACGACGACGATGGCGACGACGACATATTCGACTACGTCAATGACGACGACGACTGAGTTCGCGACGTCGACGCAAAAACGACAACGACGACAACGACGACCGCGACCGCGAGTACGACTTCGACGACGGCGACGACGACCGTTACGACGACGAACGCGATGGCGACAAGGGCGACGAAGACGACGACGACGCGGACGACGAAAACGAGGACAAAGAGAAACGCGACGACTGGGGCGATGACGAAGAGCGCGGTGACGACATCTATGACGACGATGGCATCGACGACGACGATGAAGAATACCGCGCTTCCTGAAGGTTTTCTTCGTGTCCTAAGTATTCCTGGGCACCCCCTCGACATTCCCACGGGGGCCATCCTTCTGGATGTTCTAAGGATGCCCGAGCAATTTCCCACAACCTTTGTGGATCCACCGCGCCATTCGACGGTTTTCTATGGTTTGTGGGGGGTTCGAACGATTTCCTGAGGACGGCCTACGGATAATAATTCTTCAGGCTTCCACGCACGACTTCTTTCGAAATTCTAAAAGGGACCCGCGCCGATGTTGTAAATGTTTCCAGATGCCGAATGTCATCCCAAGGGTTCCCATTGCTTCTTCAAGCGTTCCACGGATCCCCAATGCATTTCCAACAGATCCCTGCGGGTTCCGTAGAATTCCCGCACATTCATGTCAACGCTGTTGTAGCGCCCCGAGCCAAAAGTCCCCAGCTCCTTCCTGCTTTTACCAGTTAATTGGGCAGCGGCAGGCTCTCGTCACCCGCCCCAGTGTACTTTCTTTGTCCGTGGTAAATCGTGTGTTTTGGGAAGACACGCCTTGATGTTTTCTAGGATATTCTATGCCGCGTGCCCTCTCAGCCCCGCACCGCCCTCCCTCGTTTCCTTCCTGTTTTGCCCCTCTTCCTTATCTTCCTCATCTTCGTTGTCTTCGTCCCTCGCCCCCGCTCGCGTCGCCGACATCGCATTTGTCGCCGCCACCGCAGGCGTCGTCGTCGTCGTTGTCGTCGTCGTTTTCCTTGTCGTCGTCGTTGTCGTAGTCGTAATCGTCGTCGTTGTCGTCGTCCTCCTTGTCCTCGTTGCCGTCGTGAACGTAGTGGTAATCGTCGTTGTCGTCGTCGACGTCGTCGCTTCCCTCATCGTGGTCGTCGTCGGCGTCGTCGCCGCGCTGTTTGCCGTCGTCGTTGTCGTCGTCGTCGTTTTCCTTGTCTTCCTCGTTGCCGTGGTGTTGGTGGTGGTGGTCGTCGTCGTTGTCGTCGCCGTCGTCGTTTGTGTAGTCGCCGCGCTGTTCGTCGTCGTCGTCGTCGTCGTCGTCGTCGTCGTCGTCGTCGTCAGGAGGGGGGGAGGAGGAGGCGGAAGTGGAGGTGGAGGGGTAGGAGGAGGCGGAGGAGGAGGAGGCGGAGGAGGAGGAGGGGAAGGAGGAGGAGAGGACGAGGAGGATGAGGAGGAGGAGGAGGCGGAGGAGGAGGAGGAGGAGGAGGCGGAGGACGAGGAGGAGGAGGGGGGAGGAGGAGGCGGAGGAGAGGCGGCGGAGGAGGAGGAGGAAGAGGAGGACGAGGAGGCGGAGGCGGAGGGGGAGGAGGAGAGGAGGAGGAGGAGGAGGACGAGGAGGAGGAGGAGGAGGAGGAGGAGGAGGAGGAGGAGGAGGAGGAGGAGGAGGGAGAGGAGGAGGAGGAGGAGGAGGGAGGAGGAGGAGGAGGTGTTGTGCCCCCCCCCCCCCCCCGCACGCAGAGGTGTCGCTGCCCGAGCTGCCCGGCGGCGACGCCGACGACCTGCTGCCGCCGCCGCCGGAGCCGCCCGCGCCTCCTCCTCCTCCTCGCTCTCCTACCTCCTCCTCCTCACCTCCTCTCCTCCTCCTCGCTTCCTCCTCGCTCCTCCTCGCTTCTCCTCCTCCTCCTCCTCCTCCTCCTCCTCCTCGCTCCTCCTCGCTCCTCCTCGCTCCTCCTCGCTCCCCCTCCTCCTCCTCGCTTCTCCTTATTCCTCCTCTTCTCCGCCCGTCCATAATCATCCGCTGCATCTTCTTCCCAAACTTGATGAGGCTGGTGATCACGGTGGTACGGGTCTGATGTAAAGTACGAGGTGGGCCGTCTCGAAGCAAGCATTAATGCACGAGCGCGCGCGCGCGTGTGTGTGTATATGTGTGTGTGTGTGTGTGTGTGTATGTGTGTGTTTGGAGTACCCGCCACTGCCGTTTCTTCCCATGGCTCGTCCTGGCACTCTCTCCCTTTGCTGTCCCTCCCCTCGGAGTGCGACGCCGATTGGCACCTCTGATACCTAGCCTCCCCGCTCGTCGCCTCTCTTGGCCGCCCCTCCAGGGACGCCCGTACCGCGCTGTTCTCTACGGGCAAGCGCTGTGCTCCTCGCTCGGGTGCTGCGTGAGTCCCCGGCCGCTCTTTTGAGGCCCCAGCCGCCTTCTCCGGGCTCTTAGCTGCCTGACTTTTCTGCGCGCGGGGCCGCGACATCAAAATGTGTGTTCTGAGTATCCGCATTGTTGACATTTGCACTTGGTGAGCTGGCATGGCCGAGTGGAGCCTGAGGTGTTGGTGTTAGCGGAGCGACGAAGCGCGTGCGCGTGCGATGCAGCCCCTGACGTCGAGGATGGTCCGAAAAGGGTTCCCTCCCCCCGACCTCGCTGTCGGCCAGAGGCCTGGTCTCGAGGTAGGTTTGCGTCCATTTCCTCGTCATCATTCCAAAGATGAAGATGTGAGTGCAGCTTTCAATCATTGTGTGCTGTTCTGGAGCTCCGCCGTAGTGGGTGCTTCTTCTTTTCTTCTTCTTCATCATCGTGATCATCATTCTTTAATAGTCAACATCGCTACCACCATCGTCACGATCACCACCTCCATCACCATCACCATCATAGTCATCATCGGCAGTTCGTGTCTGTTCCATCACCATAACCATCACCGATTGAAGTGCGTTGTTTGTGGCAAAACGCATCTAGAGCCAGTTCCATCATCACGGATACGGTGTTTGTTTTCTCTAGATTGACATAGCGATGTCTGCAAGCACGGGTGGGCTATGTCTGTGCAGGAAGTGATATTCCACATGCGTATGCTCGTGCCGGACACCATCACGTCCTCAAGTCGTTACAGAAGCGGGACGTGCACGATGCTATCGCGGCGCGGTGCATGCGGCACTTGCGTTCTGTCCGCCATTACATTCAATTCGGCGATTACGAGACATTCACACCCCTGTCACGACTTCGCTCCCACAGGGGAGTAGATGGGCCAAGCGTTCTGGTTCATGATTTTGGAGAATACCCTGCAAGCAGTTTGGGATAAGTACCCAGCGGAACGATTGGGCGTTGACCTTCTCCTTGTGGTGAATTCTGCTGCTCATGGGTGTCCCTTTTGCCACACGTGCGCCTTCGCGTGCATCTTTCCCGTCATTTGCAGCGATATGTCCTTCTTCCTGGTGCATTGACGCCAAATTGCTAGCTGCCTTGCAACAGGCTTGGATGGGATCTGCTGTCGAAAGTCACACAATACGTCACGCAAGCCTCACATGATACGCCGCGGCATGGAACTACAACTGTCGGATCTTATTGCGTGAAAGTTTTCGGATATCTGTTTGGGTGTGTTTTTCAACCACACTGGCCGAGCGAGCAGGACATCCTTAATACTTCGTCCGAGATAACGCAGGCCAAGTGTTGAAATGCAAGAACAGTTCTCGGAAACAACGTTTCGAGCTCATCCGAGGAATGTGTCAAGGTGTCGGTTAGGTGTCTGCGGGTTCATGGATTTACTGTCATTGTAGTTTATCCCGTTCGCGTTCGCCGCAAAACGACGTTTTCGGTAAGCATCTTAAGCATCTTCAATGGCACCGTATAGCTTCTGTCCGTAGCTCAAAGATGGGGTCCTGAGGGTTGGGCTCCTGAGCACGAGGTGCCTCAAACAGTGTGCATCCACCCTTGGATCCCTTCCTATCCTGAGGACCCCATCCCTCAGGACCTCATCTTTGAACCACCATTTCTGAGTCAATGTGCGAGGCGCCAGAACGGAGCTCCGCAGTCGCTCAACATCGCAGGTGTTGCAGTGGAGCTATCGGCGTGCTGCTCGTCAGAACATCCGCAAAGCTTCGGGCCCTCAGGGCGACGGTCGGGGTGCTCGGCTTGGGGGGCGTCTGCAGTTTGGGCAGGAGCTCCAGCGTGTCTTTCCGCCTGCTCGTCGTCGGGAGCATGAAGGGCCGGGCCGTCGCGTTGGGCTACATATTCACGATCGTCGTGTACATCGGGGTGTGCTTGAGCTTCGCGGTCGGCATCCCGAGGCGCGTCACCACGCCTGCTGGGCGGCGCGTCTGGCGCTGCCTGATCGGTGCAGCCTCCAGGCTTTTGCGTGGCCATGGCGGAACGGCCCGCTCCCGTGCCGGCAGTGTCGCTCAGGCCTGCCGCGGTGTGCAGCGCGACGCGGTGATGCAGTGCTGCCTCAGCGGACGCGGTGAGGGGAGCGTCGCCGGTCCAAGGAGCCGAACGTGCAGAGGGTAATTGCCCGACGGGCGGTGGGTGGCTCGGCCAGGGGCGGGCGAATTCTCTGTTCGTGCGCGCTCGCGCAGAAAGTCGGGGACGTCCAAGGGGGGATGGGGAGGACTGGGGGGCGGTGTATATCAAGGGCGCGGCCATGATGACCCCCAGTTTTTATAACCCCTTCTCGTTGGCTCCCACTCGTCGGCGCACATGGCACGGGCCATGATGAGCAGCCTCGAGAAGCTTGACGACCGATAGTTCGTGTGCGCCCTGTGTGGGCTGTGGCACTGACGCTTCCCCGCCGTCGGCTGGTGCCGGTGGGCGTGTGGCCTCGCGCGCCTGCGGCGCACAGGTGCGACTTCGAGCGTCCGGTGTGCCTGTGGTCGGCTCACCTCACGTCGCACGCCTCCCACGGTGGTGATCCAGCGCAGCAGACGGAGAGCGCGAGTGGTATGGCTATGGATACGTCGTGTACAGAGGTCCCAGTCGCCATCGTCATCATCATCATCATCATCATCATCATCATCATCATCATCATCATCATCATCATCATCATCATCATCATCATCATCACCAGCATCATCATCATCATCACCAGCACCAGCACCAGCATCAGCATCAGCATCATCATCAGCATCATCATCGTCATCGTCACCAGTATCATCATCATCATAATCATCATCACCACCACCACCACCTGCTCCACCAGCATCCTAACCACCACCACCATGATTTCCATCATCGCCATCATCCATTACCATCATCATCATCATCATCATCACCATCATCATCACCATCACCATCATCATCATCACCGTCATCTCCATCATCACCATTATCACCAAGGCGATGTTCATCACCATCATCAGCACCATCATCATCAGCATTGAAATCATCATGCTCATGAGTATCACCATCACCATCATCATCATCATCATCATCATCATCATCATCATCATCATCATCATCATCATCATCATCATCACCATTATCATCATCATCAAAATCATCATCATCTCCATCGTGCTCATCATCATCATCATCATCATCATCATCATCAGCATCATCATCATCATCATCATAAACACCATCGCCATCGCCATCGGCATCATAATCATCAGCGGCATCATCATCATCATCATCATCATCATCATCATCGTCATCGTCATGGTCATCTCCCTCCTCCCCTTCATTCCATTCTCATCCTCACCCTTGCCCCATCCTCTGGCCAGGAGCCCAGCCCGATCTCCGACGGTGGCCTGGGCTTCTTCGAGTGGACCGGGGTCTGGATCGGCGGCCTCTTCGTCCTCGGCGCCATCGGCACCGCCGGCTCCTACGCCCTCGCGCGGGCCAGCCTGGACCCGGAGTTCGCGGAGAACGCGCTGCTGGGCTCCAAGTTCGTCCTGACCCTGTTCCAGGGCCTGTTTCTCCTGCGGATCATCCTCACGCAGTTCCCCAGGACCGGGGGAGCACGGGCCTCGAGAGTGGATTCCGTTCCACGATGGGCCGCCGAGGAGCACCGCATGCCAGGACTATTGGACTGAAGTGAGGGACTCCGGTGCGCCACCGCTTCGGTTCAGCAATCCAGGCCTCCCCGGCCGCCATGGTGGCGCTCGGGGGCCACGTCGCCGAACGGAAGGAGTTCAGGGCGCCAGTGGGGGCGCCGCAGCGGCATGCGCCCGATGTCAGGCCAAGGCTTCGCGGCAGGCCCTCGATCCAAGAAGCCGTGCACAGTAGTGGCGCAGTGGTTCCCATCTTCGGGGCCCAGGCGGGTTGCGGGGATTCGGAGTCCCCAGACGCTGCTTGGCGTCTGAACTGTTCTTTTGACAGCGGCGTGTCCCACAGCGCCCAGATCACGAACGCGTGCGGCAAGGCCCATCGGCCGCCCCTGAACCATCAAGTGTCGGGGGTGTGATCACGGGCCGGTCTGACGGCCAGCTTGTGGTCGTGACCTGGGTGTTTGATGCTGAGGATCCTCTTGGGGCCCGAATCCGAGTCCTTCCAGTCCTTTGGGTCTGAATGCGGAGCCTCTTCAAGACCTCTGAGCATTGCGCTCTCTTGGGACCCTCGTCGGTTTCTCTTTGAATTATCGGGGGCCTCTTCATCCTGTAGCCTCTTGGGGTGTTTCTCTTTGAATTATCGGGGGCCTCTTCATCCTGTAGCCTCTTGGGGTCCTCTTGGGGTCCTCTTGGTGTCCTCTCGGGGTCTCTCTGAGCTCTCTTGGGGCCGTCCTGGAGCCCTAGCCCTCTTGGGGTCGTCCGTCTTGGACGGCGACGGCCAGGGCGCTCGTAAACATCGGGCAGCGGCATGTTTGTGTGTGCCCCGGCAATGGAGCAGACTGGTTCTCGGGGATCGAGCCAGAAACTTCGACGCCGCCGGCGTCCCGACCGCTACAGGGCTCATGTCGACCCCTCGGATTCGATTCGACTCGATTTCGATGAATTCCAGCTCCAATTCGATTCGATGTCGGATTCCGATCTGGATTCCGCTTTATAAATGGAGACCTTAACAACCTGCCGATTTCTGCCGATTCGAGTTCTTCCGGCTTGGCTGCCGATCTCCGCCGATCCTGCTTCGTTTCGATCGCCGATCCGGCTCATGGATTCGATCCCGAGCCCTCCTGCCGCTGGTGAAGACCAGAACCCGAATCGTAGCCTTCACCACGGCCTCACGTTGTAGGTCACTTGCTCCACTGGCGCCCGCGCTGAGGAGTTCGGCCGCGTTGCTCTGGGCCTCCCGGGCCCCAAGACGGCCCAAAACAGCCCCACAAGGCCCCCCAGGAAGTCCCGGAAATACACTCTTCATGTCTTTCCGCAAGGTTTTTTGTCAGATTTTTGCATGTCGTACCAAAGCCTTGACACCAACAGGGCTCCAAGACACTAAGCCAGCGACCTCGCGCCCCCACAACGTACACGCGCTTTCCGTCCCCGTGCTGAGCAGATAGCGGAAAGAGCGAGGTACGAGTGATAACGTTCCTGTGTGGGGCGAAGCCTTCTAGGGCCCTGGTACTTGTTAGAGTGAAGCGACTCCCGGGCGCTTTGCATGGCCCGTTTCCACGTATTCTTTCGAGTGAAACGGCTCAAAGGCCCCAAGACGTCCTAAGAGGACCCACCCAAAAGCCCCAAGACGGCCCCAAGAGAGCCTCAGATGGTCTCCAGACGGTCCATAGAGAGCCTCAAGACGGCCCCAGAAGCCTCCAAGAGGGCCCCTGAGAGGGCGTGAGGAGGCCAGAATCATTGACTTTCCTTGGGTTTTTGAAGGTTTTTCAAGTTCTCGCTTTTTCGGGCCCCGATGGGCCCACGAGACCCCCAATATCGTCCCAAGACGGCCCCAGAGGCCCCCCCAGAGGGGCCCAAAGCGGTCCAAGAGGGCTTCCAGACGGCCCCAGAGGGCCCCCAAACGGCCCACGAGGGCCCCAAGACGGCCCCAAGAGAGCTCCAAGAGGGCCCCAAGAGGCTCCCAGGAGGGCCCGAAGAGGCAGAGTGGGGACTGGACTGCTCGGGTGTGGGGACTGGGCTGGCCCCAAGACGGCCCAAGAGTCCCAAAACGGCCCAAAAGGGCACCCAAAAGACTCCCAAGAAGCCCCAGAGACGCCAAGCAACACCATGGCTCCCAACAGCGAGCGGTGATGTAACAAACTCTGAACACCAAGGCTCCCCAGAGCGCGGTGACGCAAAAAACTCTAAACAGCAAGGCACCCAAGGGCGAGCGGCAACGTTAAAGTCTGTGAACACCAGGGCTCCCAGGAGAGAGCGGTGACGCAACAGACTTTTAACGCCAATGCTCCCAAGAGCGAAGGGTGCCATGAGCCATCTCGGGCCAGTTCCTGAGGCGCTCTTTCCGTTTCCGTGCTGGCCCAGGTAACGGAAAGAGCGAGAGTGATGACGTCTTGGTGGGGCGAAGCTCTCTAGGGAGGGGTCCAGGGGAGGGGCGAGGGCCGCGCGTTTGAGTGTTAATGGCCGCCAGGGGGCCGTTTCCCTTGTATTTTTCGAGTGAAGCGGCTCGCGGGCGCCTTCCACGGCCCGTTTCCGAGTAGTTTTTCGAGTGAAGCGGCTCAATGGCCCCAATACGGCCCAAGAGGGCACCAAAACGACCCAAAGATGGCCCCGAGAGAGCCTCAGATGGCCTCCAGATGGTCCAAGAGAGCTTCGAGACGGCTCCAGAGACCCTCCAGAGGGCCCTCGAGAGGGCCTCTGGAGCCCAAAACATTGAATTCCCCGAGGGTTTTTGAAGGACGGGCCCAACACGGCCCATGTGGTCCCAAAGCTCGTCCCAAGACCTCAGAGGCCCCCCAAAGAGGCGGAAAACGGTCCAAGAGGGCCCCCAGACGGCCCAAGAGGGCCCCAAAACAGCCCCAGATGGCCCCAAGAGGGCGCCAAGACAGCCCCAAGAGAGCCCCAAGAGGGCCCAAAGGCTCCCAGGAGGGCCCCAAGAGACCCCCAAGAGAGCCCCAAGACGGCCAAAGGCCTGCAAGACGCCCCTAGACGGCCCAGAAGGGCCCCAAGACGGCCCAGAATTGCCCCACATGGACTCCCGAAGGGCTCCACAAGAGCCCCGAGAAGACCCCGACGACGCCCAAGAGATGCTCAAGAACACCATGGCTTCCATCAGCAAGCGGTGACGTAACAAGCTCTTGACACCAAGGCTCCCCAGAGCGTGGTGACGTACAACGCTCGTGACACCAATGCTCCCAAGAGCGAGCGGCAACGGAAAAGTCTCTGAGCACCAGGGCTCCCAGCGGCGAGCTGCGACGTAACAAGCTTTTCACACCAAGGCTCCCAAGAACGAAGGGTGCCATGGGCCATCTCGGGCCAGTTCCTGAGGCGCTCTTTCCGTTTCCGTGCCGGCCCAGGTAACGGAAAGAGCGAGAGTGATGACGTTCTGGTGGGATTTTGGTGGCCTCTTGGGCCGTCTTGGAGTGTCGGGAAGTCGAAAAGGCGAGAACGCCAAGATCCTTCAACATCCCATTGGAAATACATGATTTTTGCCTCTTGGGGCCCTCTTGTGAGACTTCTTGGAGGCCTCTTGGGCTGTCCGGGGGCCATCTTGAGCGTCTTGGAGCGATCGTTCGGCGACTTGGGGCCCCCCTTTGACCTTTTTCGGGGGCTCTTGGGGCCCTCCTGGCCTGCCGTGGGGCCCTCTTGGGCAGAAGAAGCTGCGCGCCACCACTTGGCAAAGCCCAGGGGGCACGCGACAAGCCCCAAGAGTTTTTTTCGGAATGTGTGGTCCGGGCCCCCGAATGGCTCCTCAGGATTGAGGACTGGGGCTCCAGGGATTAGGCACAGGACCTGAGGACACGCCCACTCCGTGCCCAGCGGCGCGGTGGCGGACTGTGGTTTTGGTCACCAGAAAAACTTTCGAGCACCAGGAAAGTACCGGAACTGGATGGTTCTCACGTGTCGGGCCATGGGGGGCGATGCTCGTTCGAAACTTCGCCAGCGTGTCGGGCAGACACTGTTTCGATAATTGTTTTTCTTGGGTGGTCGAAGCTACTTCTGGGATGTGGTCCCGAAGTGCGATGGGAATCACATCAGTTGATGATGATGATGAGGAGGAGGAGGAGGAGGAGGAGGAGGGGGAAGGAGGAGGACGAGGACAGGAGGAGGAGAGAGGAGGAGGAGAAGGAGGAGGAGTAGGAGAGGAGAGGAGAGGGAGGAGAGGAGGAGGAGGAGGAGGAGGAGGAGGAGACCTCGAACCCCTCCCCTCCCCGAGGATCAAGGCGGACGAGGGGCCGTGGGCTCCGGTGTACTATTCCACGGAGTGGGTCCTCGCGCCGGCTGGCTGGCCGGCCGCCGGCCGCCGCCGCGCCGCGCCGCCCGGGGGGGGGGGCGGGCGGGCGGGCGCTCGCGCGGGCGGCTCCGTCGTCTCCTCCTCCTCCTTCCTCCTCCTCCTCCTCCTCCTCCTCCTCCTCCTCCTCCCTACCTCTCTCTCTCTCCCTCCCCCTCCCTTCCTCACCTTCCCCCTCCTCCTCCTCCTCCCTCCTCTCCTCCTCCTCCTCCTCCTCACCCCTCCCCCCTCCCTCCTCCCCCTCCCCCTCCCCTCCCCCTCCCCCTCCCCTCCCCGGCCCCCCCCTCTCCTCTCTCCTCCTCCTCCTCCTCATCCTCCTCTTCCGCCTCCTCGTCCTCCTCCTCTCGTCCTCCTCGTCCTCCTCCTCCGCCTCCTCCCTCTCTCCTCCTCCTCCTCCTCCTCCTCCTCCTTTTCCTCTCCCTCCTCCTCCTCCTCCTGCTCCTCCTCTCCTCCTCCTCCTCCTCCTCCTCCTCTCCTCTTCCTCCTCTCGTCCTCCTCCTCCTCGCCTCGTCCTCCTCCTCCTCCTCGCTCCTCCTCCTCCTTCTCCTCCTCCTCCTCCTCCTCCTCTCTCCTCCTCTCCTCCTCCTCCTCCTCCCTCCTCCTCCTCCTCCTCCTCCCCT